CAATTATGTAAAGTTGCCAGTAAATTAATGCAAGCAAACTCAAGTTATAGCACAACATGTAAAAACTTTACTTAAAATCTGACAATTAAAGTTCGGGAACTCTGGAACGGTAAAACAAATAATATAAAAAATCGAAACGGAGCTTTCTTTTATCAATCACAACAATAATGTATAGTTTTGAGGAAATCAATCCAGGCATACTGGAGTAAGTGAGCGATACGTGCCTTATTTCACGGTTAAAGTCCCGTAACTTTGGAACGACAAAGAATTTTTTTTTCTAAATCGAAAGTGAAGTTTCTTTCATCAATCCTTATGTCTTGTTACAATTACAGGAAAAGTGGTTAAAGCAAATTTTAGTTATCGTACGAAAGTGTTGACGGACGGACGAACATTGTTATATCATAATACGTCTGGTCTTCGACGGACGTATACAAATAAGGAGATGTGGTATCAGTGCCAATAAAATAACTATCCATTAAAGACCAAAGGAAAAATATCTGAACAATCAGAGGTCACCATACGGCCTTCTACCATGAGCAAAACACATACCGTACTCTAATCCAATAAAGGGCACAGGATGACAAAATGCGAAATTTTATACTACAACAATAAACGAAAAACAATTATGGCAGACATCATCCAACTGCAACCACTAGATATCGTAATACTGGCTTGGGGAAAGATAGATAAAGACTGGGATATTTAACCTGGGACTTTGGTGTAATAACACAAAAACAAACAACGTAGCTATATAAATCAGTTGGAAAGGGCTTGACTCATAAGATAAGTACTAAGCATAAAACACTCAAAATAACATAAAAAAAAATACACACAGCTCCGATCTAAGAGTACTCGCAATTATTTAAAGATAGTTCAAAGTCCAATTTTATGTAATACTTAAATCATGCTTTCCAAGACAAAAATGCCAATGAGGACGCCTCCAAAGGATTAAGTGTAAAAACGTCATTAGCAGTCTTAGAGAAAAAAAGACCTTGTGCAATGCCAAAATATAAGTACCGACAGGATGTATGCCTAGAAGTGATAATACCTAGATAGCAATACGTATTAAGTTTGTATAAGTAACGATAAAGATAACATTGATAACCCTTAAGAATGTGTCTAAGGACGAATAAGCTCACATGAACTTAATAGACAATATCATCGTAAAAATTAGGATGAGATATTCTGTTTTTGTATAAGATTCCGACATCAAATAAAACTTCCAAACATGTTTTGTATTCTGTGAAATAATTTAGTAAATTTTAAGAGTAATTTGTGATGAATTTATAATTGCAAGAAATGACAATTGTTGCTGTTTGTATTAGATTAATAAAAAGTCAGTTCATTGTGCTTAAGTATATTTATAAAATTATTTTATTATTTAAAGCAAAAATATCATAAAAGTATGCCAACAAATTTCTACGAAATTGAATTTATACTGATCTTTACTGAGTTGTGCCATAACCCTTGATTCATAACAATAAAGGAACAAGGCTTCTTTTTAATTTGTCTCTTAATGGGAAGCCAACCACTCCGCTATGCTTCCATTTTTCAATTATGTTATGATAAGTGTGTATATCAATAATAACGAATAATAACACATGATAGATTGATTGATCGATTGTTGTTTGCATCGTCCACTGGCTAATATTTCATGTATAATCAGGACGAAAACAAATTCACAATTTACGCAATTGGTAAATTCTACAAGTGGGTAGATCGGGTTGAAAGGCGAAAATTGAGACTACTACTGGAAAATGAGGATATTTTGGATAGGGAAAATACATTTTGCCTTGCCTTTACAGACCTATGGACCCCTCAAACAGTTGTTGCATGGGTGAAACACTCTCTCTCGTCACACAAGGTATCGGATTTAACGTCCCTATTTGGACCGAACAAGGCTGCGTACTTCTACATCCCACATATCCAAACGGAAGCCATTAAAAAGTTTTACTGCCGGACGGGAAAAGTTCAGTGGTTGCCCATATTGTTATAAACTAGTCAATCTTCGGGGTTAACCTATGATAAATCGTATTGGACGTATAGATAATGTACAGGAAATCTGACTTGGTTGCAAGGAAGGTCTGGTAGTTTTTATCAGAAAGTTATATTATAATGTTTGACTCTGCCACTTCAAAATCTTAATATAAACAAATTTTGTTTAAGCCAAAAACAAAATGTTAACAAATTTAAAAGAAATAATAACATCATGGGAAGGTTTTCATTTACCCTTAAAACAATATTGATGAAAACAAAGAACGTTTAACAGACAGGGTGATACACATACTAGTTGACTGAACGATCCTACAATTTTGAGCGGGGAGGGGAATTATAAAAAGTAAAAAAATGTTATGAGGTATTCGTCTAATAAAAATGATAAATGTATTTTATCTAATTTGCATATAAACTCTCAAATTCACGTTTTTGTATTTTAATAGTTTTCTTCGTCGTATGTGGATTTGAATTCGCAGTTGGTAAGTTACTGGACTTAGAAAGTATATTCCTTATTGCATGAGGGTATCGCAATTAGAAACAATAGTGTTAATCTTTCCCGAAGACCTCAAACAATAACAAAATTAAACAGTACTAATATCAATTGTAAGTATATAACATACGCAGTAGATGTATACAGTATGTACAATAAATTTTTAAGTTATTTTCTTGTTTATTTATCAGGAATGCCACTATTTTTTAACGTTTGTATTGTTTAAGAATAGTTTTTAAAATTCCATAATAAGGGACATATACGCCGGAATTATTATCTTCATAAAATTGGACTAATGCTGTCTCGGGGCAAATGATTAGGCTCCCATTATTGGACGACCTCAAAGAACATTTTGTTAGATCTGTCCATTAGTTGTCACTATTTTTCCCACAACCCCAGGTCGTGTGATTTCGTTATTTAAATGATGTCTAAAAAGGGCATGATTTCGAACCTCAAAAAGTTTTTCTAATAAAAAGGCTTGTAAATGAAAAAAAGGAGAAGAAGATGTCATGACGGCTTTAGGATGACACTGTAGACATTAGGTGCCATTTATGCATGCCTTATACGTCACATCCCTTTATTTGTTGAGTAATACATACAAGTTGTGTCACAGTGTATGGAAAAATATAGGTTAGCATTGCAAATATATTCCCGTAGGCAAATAACAAAATACACAAAATAGAGGTGCATTACGATCTCGAAATTATTCGAAAAGTGAATGATTATATACTATAGTTAAAGTAAACAGATCCACATAAGGTGGGAATTAGTTGGTCATAGCTTCTTACGTTTCTATGTACTTATACATCCCTGGATTTCAAATGTTCAAGTAGGTTGTATCGTTCCTAATGAAGGTAAATCCAGAAAAGCGCTTCGGACGCACGATATTCAAAAAATGTTATTTTCATTTACTAGCTGTGTGTCAATACCAGTCCACTGCTAGTGAAATGTTAATCCCCGAAGGTATCATCATAATGCCTTAACACTGCATACTACTTCTATTTTATTGTACACTTGCCTTCTGATCCCTTCTGGCCTTAAAATGACGTTGCAATTGGCCGGTAAAAACGGACAATAAAAAATGGTACAGATAGCCAAGCATGTTACAGGCATATCATTAGGTAGGGTTAAATCAGTTTTACGTGCACGCTAACCTGAACGATTGTCTTTCTAGGAAATGTGTCGTAAAATTGAAACATACTTGGGCAGTGCAGCCACCAATAGGATGACCGCAAACTTGAACAAGAAAAAGATTAAGTTTTTTCAATTCAGTTCAATTAGAACATATTATAGCAAACCTGACAAGTTGTGAAATGTACACGCCATAGAATGCGACAAGAGAAAAATCGTTTTGTCGTAAATGTTAGTATCCTTTTTCCCATTTTGTCAAAATACATTTATGTCTAAAAATGGACAATTATTGACTATCTATTAGCTTTACTAGGTTGATTTTCTTTTGGTTAAATACATTTATCATATTTAATAAACTCTGGGTTATTAACAGTGACTAAATCCAAATTAATGTTAATAAGGCCTGGTTTATGTAAAAAAACAAAAACAATAAACGACTAACAAATATGATATATGCACGCTTTTGTAATTTAATCTCTTCTACGAATAACCCATCTAGCATTCGAAATAACTAATTATGTAACATCATGCTCAGCATTATTAGTGATGCATGCATTTGTATTGGGTTTTTAATTTCTCCATATTGTGAAGAACTGAAAAATTGTAATATATAACCATTACAGTATTATTTTAAGTCCGTTGTGGGCAGATGTGTTCGCAAATAACACATCAAACAAGTTCTAGATATTTTGAAACCATTTTTGGTTAGACCACTTCAAAGAGTTATTATAATATCTAATGATTCCCAGTACTTTTTCATATTCTTTATTCTTTTATAATGTTTTTTTTTCTACATAAGAATGTAATAATTCACCGTTTGTATTTCCATATTTGACACTTAATATTGATTTTGATTTAGTTGTATTATTTTCCATACCATCTCATTAATATTTTACATGTCAATATATTAACAAAGAGAGAGAGAGAGAGAGGTCATTTATTTGTATAAAAAGAATAAAAGAGGAACAAGATCCATGTGTATTCCCAAAACGATATCTTGGAGTTTAAACTTCCAAAGGTAACCGGGATAATTTAATCGTTCTTTGTCATTTCTTTTTTTTTAGTTCTCTTAATTAATGCAATTTTCTATAAGAAATTTTTTCACAGAAACATAATGCGCTTGTTATCCATCCACATAAATAACTGACCTGATTCGTATGTTCACTTTACAGAAGAAAAAAGTGATTCTATTTTCTTTTCCTAAATTGGTGCCGCTATTATTTTTTTTTATTAAAACCTAAGATAGAATGTTTTATCGGTAAGTATCTCTAATGATTGCATTACAATACGTGGTGTTCCTCAAATAAAGAAGGTAGGTTGCTATTCATTTACCAACAATGAATACACTAAATAAATATTTATACATTTCAGGTCTGACATGTAGACTTTGTTACTACGCACACGATGTAACAAAGTGTGGTGCTACAACACAATGTCCACAAGATGAGGTGATGCACATTATTTATTTTTCATGTAAAACTTTTCTCATTTGGTAACTGAAGTACTTTGAAGCTGCACAGTTAGATAAATTTCCTGGTTTCAAGTAGTCTTTATTTTCATTCAGTGGTATCTATAGATAAATAAGAAGATGAGGCATAATTGCCAATGAGACAACTCGCCACCAGAGACCAAATGACGTAGACGTATCTGTTCTTTTTTGTCCATGATCTTATCCAATTTTTATTATTTGCAATCTATCTAAAATATGATATTTAATTATTAAACGGGAGTAATTAAAGATCTAATGTTAATTACTAATAGATTGCATTATTTTGAACTGCTGTTGTTATTATGCATGTACTAATTTTAATATTCCAGCATTGTGGAATCCATGAATTTTCCATGAATGGAGAGAAAACGTATCATGCTGGGTGTATTTCCACTGAGGTAAGTGTTGTATGTCAGGAATTTAAAGCAAACATTCAAAGCAGATTGAAATACTCAATCTAATTTTTATTTATAGATATGAACAGGAGATTCCTATATATAAGTGGAGATCTGATTGTTTATAGATATGAATAGGAGATTCCTATATATATGTGGAGATCTGATTTTTATTTGTAGATATGAAATGAACAGGAGATTTCTACATATATAAGTGGATATCTGATTTTATGTATAGATATGGACAGGAGATTCCTTTACCGGTAAATGAGTGAATATCTCAAACTGAAAATTGAAAAAAGAAAAAAAAATTATAAATTTTGTGTGTGTATATTCATAACGGGAACAAATAGTCGGTAGGTTCTTCTGCCCCTCGGGATGAAGAATGGGAAATTAAGACTTCATCTGGTAAATGAGAGTACGGTGGATAGAGGCAGATATTGCATTACAAAAGTCCACCTACGGACCCGTTAAAGGGTTCTTAATGTGCATAGAGGGAATTGTGGCACTCTTTCCACACGGAGCAAGAATTTAACGTCCACGTTTCGACCGGACATGGTTGTGTATTAATACGTTTATCATAGCCAAACGGACGCCCCTTTGACCGAGAAAATGGGATAATTTCTGTACCCCGGAGCTCCCTCGGGGTTGTTATAATGATGAATGCAACTTAAATGTAAAGTGACCATAAACAATCTATAATCTTTGTTTACCAGAACTATATCATGTATACTTTTTGAAGCATTCTTGCACAAGTTGTGTCGTCCAAATTCATGTCGGATATGTAGATTAAGAATTAAGTACAGTTTTGGAAACCTTAATCTGATTATTTACATGGTTATTCCATTTAAAACAATTACTTTTATTTTAAATAGAAATGAAAGATTTTATTCATTTTAGGTGTGCGAAGGAAGACAATACGCACCAATAAAAATATTTGGAAAACGTAGACAGTTAACAACTGTAAAAGTACAATGCTGTGATACAGACCTGTGTAATGCCGATCCAAATAATGTTACGACAGGTAATTATCTAATGGACATTAGAATTGAGAGACCCCGAATATAAAGAAATAGCAAATTTTGCACGACATTCTTACCATTCAATTACAGCTTATATAACTCGGAATAACGTACGTTTGGCATTGCTCAGTGTGTGATGTGTACTTGTGAGCATGTCTTTGTTGAATAAGATGAAATACTATTGTATTGAAAATGGTCTTTGTCAGCGTCAGCCTTTTTTTACAATGAAAAGTTACAACATGAAAATCCTTTGCATGTTATATACTAATATCTATGTCAGGTAATTTTTAGTGAATTTTAATCCGTTATTTTAATCATATTTTATTTGCTTAAATATAAAAATGACGAGACACAAGTTAATCAAACTTATAAAGTCTTCTAATAATCCGTTATATTTATATCAGCTACTTTTGGATACCCATCCGTTGCCATTACCTGATATAGTTTTCTGGTTGGTTGTTTTCTTTAGATTTAATATATATATATATTTGAGTGTGTGTTTGTGTTTGTGTGTTTGCTTGTAATCATAATACTTCAACTCCATTTTAAATGATAAAATATAAATAAACAAAATACGTTTAGAGTTGTTTTTCCGATTCTATTAGACCAAACGTTGACCTGTCATATCTTCAATGCGCTTTGGTCTTTATGGATAGTTGTTTCCTAAGCAATGATTCCACATCTCATTATCCTTATACTATAACGTTTAATTGTGTTATTCTTTTTTCACAAGGGTTGCCAGATATAAATGTAACGACCAGTACTACTAAAACGACTGGAATTACTACATCTGACCAGCAGTTAATGACGTCAAGTTTACCTACGACTTCTGCCACGTGCGTTGATCATTCTAACTGCGGCCACCTTTTGCAGACATTTCCAATATGTACAGATTCTTTTACTGCAAAGACTGTTTGTCCAAAATTATGCGGTTTATGTGATACTGATACTTCAGCAACAACAAATAAGTCTACACAATGTGTAGATATTTCGAACGAATGTGAAATACTGATACAACATTTTCAAGTATGTAAAGATACTGATTTTTCATTGGCTAGATGTAGAAAATCTTGCAACCTGTGTTCGCAAATCACTACAATAGTACCAAGCTTAGAGACGCCGCCACCGAATCGAGAAACACTCCCACCAAATCGAGAAACTCCTCCACCGAACCGAGAAACACCCCTGCCTTCACAGAGCTCTTCATTGTTACCAAATGTAGAGACGCCACTTCCGAATCGGGAAACGGTCGAACCTTCGCAAACATCAGCACCGCTACCAAATATTGAGACGCCAAGCTTTTAAAGGCACTATAGTTTTGTCCGAAAACAGAAAACCTTAATTACTATTAAAATGTTATAGTATCACAGCTCCTTATGCATACTTCGTATGTTGTAATAAACAATTGAGTTAAAACTAGTTAGAAAGCTAAACAATAAGCAAAACGAACCCGACCACAAAACACGTGTGCCCCGGAAGGGTAAACATTTCCTGTTCCACGATTTTGTCCCCATCATTTGCTCATGCAAGTAAAAATTCTGTAATAAGCAACATTCGATGTAATAGTCTAGGATTTCTCTCGATGCAACATGTTTTAAAAATATGTGAAATTTATAATATCATAAGTTTATGAGTATTGTCTTCAATTGGAATGTATAGAACATTTTGCTCTTGTGGACATTATAAAAAAATCTAAAAAGATCGTAAAGATCAATGTTTTAAACGCTTTGAACTTCATATTCTGGTATGTTTCATTATATTTTAATTTATTTTTCATTAATTTTAAAATTATATTTGTTCCAAAAGCCGGTTTAATTTTAAAATGTATACCGATTAGTCTGATTGGTCTGCCCTTCAGGAAAATTGACAAAGTATGATTTTCTTATTCTAATTTGTAGTCCGTGAAATCAGGCATACGCATTGATTTTTTTTTTAGATAAACCACTAGGACAAAAACTAACCTACGTACATGCATATGAACAGAGAAAACTGCAATTTTGAAACTATTGTATATATGCCAAATGGTATGAACCGTGTCACTAACTTTTTTTTTTTGGAATACACTTGCAAGAATATAGAGGTAAATCTTAATCATACAGTATCTATATCTAGTAAAACGAGGAAGAACAATAATCAATTTACAAGTTCATGGAAACCAAACTACGCGCAACACCGCAGTGTTTGTTCTATGATTTAAACTCATTCAACCAAAATGTTATCTACAGACAAAGATTGAAATGATTTCTCAAAAGCCCCGATTTTACAACTGTTTATAGGCTCTTAATTTTGCTTTTCATATTAGTATATGGTCCATGATAATGCTTTTTGGAAAAATCGAATTTCAACCTTAACATTAAACTATTGTTATATCAGACTGTAACAAAAAGCACCTGCGTTGCATATAAACGGCAAAAAACTATTATTTTTAAATTTTCGATATTTTTTTGCTTTGCTTTGAGTGAAATGTTGACTGGGAATTTATCTTCGATCTCTCAGATAAGATGCATACCACGTAACAACAAAATTTCATCTGACGTAACGGGTTTTTTTTTTCTTCAAAAAAGGGTGTTTGTTATTTCTTGAAACTATTAATATTGCTCACATTTTTTTTGCATGAAGTCAATAAATGGATGTTTTATTAACTGAAAATTAGCTATTTTCGTGTTGATTTGAATCTTATTAATAAAATGCAGTCAAGTTTTGGGCCAAGAAAAACCGTCTTTGTTATTTCAATGTGTTGTTGATCGCTGTTGCATTGACGTATATCCAACATCTATTATTCATCCTCAATATCTCTTGTCCTTCATGACTATGAGTCTGTCTGTTAAAATATCATCTAGGATCATGGGTTAATAATACTGTAGGATCATGGGTTAATAATACTGTAGGATCATGGGTTAATAATACTGAAGGATCATGGGTTAATAATACTGTGGTACAGCCAATGGTTCCGTAGCAATACTTATAAATAGAATTACTCTGAATATAGGAGAAATATTGCCACTAGACGTTAAGCAAACTATAATCGCACGAAAAAAAATACCTAAGCAATTTCACCAATCCCAGCTTTAAAAAAACAGACATTACTATATATAGAATATACGATTCATAGACTGTTTGAATAAAACGGACAGGTTATATGATTTAAAAACATGACCCTGCAAGGTAGAAACTTTCGAATGCATTGGATGTGTCTTTTTCGTGAAAGGCCTACCTCCAAACAAGTCGCTCATTGAACGTGCATGTCGAAGATTTTGTCAGGGATACATTTATTCATCAATAATAATATCAAACGTTGTTGTTGTTGTTGTTTTTATCCTTGAAAATGTAATAAATGACGGAAGATATAATGTAGTACCAACGGTATGCTAGGACATATTTAATTTGATATTAATGTAAAACGTCTTGAGGCATTATTAACACGACATTTTCATGATTTCGACGCATATATCCTTCAACTCATCAACTAAGTTCAAAACGGCATATGAGCTGTAAGGTCAATACATTGTCCAAGGTCTTCTCTACTTAAAGGTGACTTGGCGACAATTTTATGTTTGTATTAAGTTCAATTTTTAAAGACATGGAAAAAAATATTGAATAAAGTCAGTATTTATCAATGTGAGAGCAACACAACTTTATGAATTTACAATTCCGGGTTTGTATTTAAAATGTTCTGTTATAATATACATGTATAGTTCTGTTATACCTATATAAGCTGTATTGCTTCTGGTTTGAAATGAACTAAACATTCTGATTGTTGAAATTATAATGAGAATATATGTAAGCTAAGATCTTAGATCAATCAAGTTATGTTAAAAAAAATATGATTTAAAAAAGTTTATTCGAACACATAGTCTATCATTAATTCATTTCATTTTTATTTACTACTCACTCAGTTTTTTAATATGTTGTCAGTCGATGGTTACAAAGATCTCACAATTAGTAACCTACCATATGCAGTAATAGGTGAGAATCAATGATTGTTTCTTTCTATCAGTTACAAACAATGCAAGTCTTTTAATATGATGTCATTTCATCTTTTTAGTGAAAAAAGACAGTTAATCATTACTTAGTATAAGTGTTGATATACAAATAAAAAGACTCAACGGAATATAAGGCAATTTAAAATTTAAAATTTTCAATGTTCAAACTCTTGAACTTCATCGACCAAACACAATTCAACATGGAATTAAATTAGAAGTACACAATATGATAATAATTATGTTTAGATATATTTATATTAATATACATAATCACTCTAAATATCAGCACAACAATGTTAAATCTGCAAATTTGCCGAAGCAAATTTTTGTTCTTCCCTCGCCGGGATTCGAACTCATGCTATTGAGATATCGAGACAACACCGCCTGCACTGTGTCCAGCGCTCTAGACCACTCGGCCACCTAGACTGAACAAAATTCAACTTTCGGTGGCCTAGTGTTACCTTTCCTCGCCTGTAGACTCTAAGAGTTGTAAAACAGTACATGATATATTAGGCATGAAGATGGAATTGATTGCAGATTAGCTAAATTATCTATCGTAAAGGATCGTAAGATACAGTCACAGAAATGATTATGTTAAGTACGCCTAAACAATTAATATATATATATATATATATATACATATAATACATATATAATTCGTCTCGAATTTAGCCCATCAGTATTAGATCTGCAAGCAAATTTTTGTTCTTCCCTTTAGTGGGATTTGAACCCATGCTTCTGTGACATCGTGGCAACTGTGCCTGCACTCTGTCCAATCACTTAGACTAATCGACCAAAATATAAAATAAAGCATTTGTCGAATAATGCCTTTCCTCGTCAGCTGTACCTACTTTTATGACATATATATGATATGTGGTGGCATGTAGATTGAATACTATGAAGATCAGCTATTTTTGTCAATCGTAAAGGATGATTAATACATGTACTTACATCGGGACTTACCTTGCAGTCACATCAGTATGTTTTATTATATACGTCTAAAAAAGTGACACCATAACGACTGACATTCTCCATCGGATAACCAAGGGTTATATTCGGCGAACACCACAAATTAAATATACTTCGTTTCAAATTTAGCCTAACAATGTTGAATCTAATTTTCGTTAGCAAATTTTTGCTCTTCCCTCTGCGGAATTTGAAACCATGCTTCTGTGACATCTTGCCAACTCGTCTGCACTGTGCCCAACCACTTGAACTACTCGACCAACTAGTATAAATAAAATATAGATTTCGTTAGTCTAGTGATGCCTTTCCTCGTCAGCTCTACCTAGGTTTATAACGATGTACAGTCGCATGCATGTAGATTGGATGCCTTGCAGATCAGCTATTTTTGTCAGTCGTAATAGGATGTTTATAATGTTACTTCTAAATTTGTGACAACTCTACATCTGACATTCTCCATCGGATAACCATGGGTTATACAGGGCTAACACAACACATTCCATATGTGCGTCTCAAATTAAACACACCAATGTTAGATCTACAAAATTACGCTAGCAATATATATTGATTGAGTATATATGCATCCGTATGCATTTCTGTACCCTGAATGTCGTTATGCAGTAGCCGATATTAGAGCACATGCTTTCTGATCAGCGGGATTAGTACTTCGGGCTTGCTTTCAGTAACTGCGAGCATTCTTAAAATCGGTATACCAATTTTTATCAATTTACTGTTATTTTAGAGTTAAGTTATTTTCCTGTACGGAATTTTTGTATGTACTTTACTGTACGTTTTGTTAGTCCATTAACCGAGATTTTTTGAAAAGGGGGATGAGATCTCGAAATATTAGTTTAACACCAGCGTCAGGAACCTCGTCTGTGGTTGTTTCTGTCATATCTTAATATTCATTTTTGTTATTTCGAAAATCTGGTGTTGATGGTAGATCTTTGGTTGTTTCTGGTTAAATATTTTATAACTTTTATAGCTATATAGACTCGGGACGATTAAAAGCTAGACACATTGTATGTCTTTTGGTGAAGAATGTATGTTGTCCTCTAGATATCTTTTGGTTCTTTTTGTCGTTGGGTTGCTGTACATTGGCATACATGTATACCACATATCTCTTTTCAACAACATTGAACGACGAATATATATAAAAAAAAACTCAACAGCTATCTGTTTCTTTTAATACCCTATTAGTGCTGACAATTAAGTTCCTTTCTTCAAAATGATTCCCTCTAATCGCTGAGTTTCATTTCAGGGATTACTCTTTTAAACCACGATGAATTTCATTGAATTGGTCGTCATTGCATATAAGACTCACCAACAGACAAAAAATCAAATATTTGCTGGACAAATTTCAAAATATTGTTTGGTTTCTTTAAGTGACTTTACTGATAAAATGATGTAAGTATATTTACTGCACCAGGTGAGCATTTCGACAAGTAATGTCTCGTCAGTGATGCCCGATGACAAAATGTGTGAAAATCCAAAACCTAATGCAAATGTTGAAGAGCTGATCAAACCACAAAGAGCCAAAATCTGGACAAGGAATCAGAACTTTGGATGAGGGAGATACATTCCTTAATTTAAAATGGTATAAAAAAAAGTGCATAACAGCAAATTTCAATAATACCGTATTATCACGCCAGTGCAGAATTAGTAGTGGCTACTGGGCTAGTGATATCATTGGGACTTACAGTCCACCAGCAGATTTACCCAGAAGTAGATTTACTATTAAAGGGAAAATTCGCGATTTTTGACTTGTCACCTTAATATGTTTATTATGTTACATAAAATACATATTTACGAAGTTTTATCGACAAATACGCAGTAATACTGACGAAGAAAATCAATAATTATTATTTCTTTATTGACTGTTTCCTGTATTAGTAATACGTGGCGTAAACTACTGGTATGGAATGCTGGGATTGGAAGTACAATCGTTTAAAGTCTTGTTCACTTGTCATATTTCAGGGTATTCATAAGCGCGCCGATGTATGATTTTCATAGCTAATTACCATCCAATAATGTCGATTGTACTGCACCAGATGCGCATTTTATGTCTCTACAGTGATACTCTAGGTATGTGTAATCAAGTCTAATGCCGCTTGACGAGAAGGGGGTTACATACGCCAGATTATTATACCTCAGTATGTATTTTCTTTATAGACGAACAAAAATCACTAATTTTACGAAATTGTCTGAAAAAGACTATTTACCGGTTCATGGTTTCAAAAACTATTTACTGGGTATGAACTATTTACTAAAGGCAAACATTTCCCGTAAAAATACTATATACCGGTTATTAGTTTCAAAACAGAAGCAAATATTTTCCCGTACTTCCTGTATAATAATTTCACGTAATTAATGACTATTCGGACAATAGCAAGTTTATTGTCTCGTCGACACCAACTAGTTCTCTCTGCTTCGCTTTAATGTAACCAATTAGGCTTCAAAGCATCTGCTTAGTAACGGCTCAAGCCAGCGCCCAGCCTCAATGACACAGTAGCGATGTTACATGTTTCCTCGAATGAGACCTACCGAATTAGACTTATCAATAGGTTTGTACTTACATGAGTAACACGACGGGTGCCACTAGTGAAGCAGGATCTGCTTACCCTTCTGGATCACCCGAGATCACCCTCGGTCTTTGGTGGGGTTCGTGTTGCTCAGTCTTTGGTTTTCTATGTTGTGTTTTGTGTTTTGTGTACTGTTTTTCGTTTTTTGCCATGGCGTTGTCAGTTTGTTTTTTATGCTTATGAGTTTCAATATTCCTTTGGTATCTGTCGCCTCTCTTTTACAAAGAAGCTATAACTTGATGTTCTTCATCCAGATGGCATTGCCAGAAATAAATAAAGCTGTTGTTTTTCAAGATGAATCCATTAGTCAGTATTGTTGGATGTATAAATACGGTATGTCTTGAAATAGTATACTATAATATCAAATGTCCCAGGGTAGTCAAACAACAATCAATGGAATGAAACATCGTACAATTGAACAACATTCCATATGACTTCATTCGTACGAAAATTCATGTGCTTGAACAGAACAATCAATGGAATGATCCTCAGCAGGACGATTGGGAAAGATCTTTAATAAACAAACTTAATGTTCTTCATTTTTTCACTTCACCAGATGGTATTGACATAAAGAAATATAACTGTTGTTTTTCAAGATTGAAACATCTATCTTCAAGAATTCAAATGTTATCAAAACACCACACTACATATAAAATTATTTGATAAATCATTAATATAAAAATAAGGACAT